GTTAAAATAAACGCGGAGCGCTACCCAGTGCACGGTGTTCTTGAAAATCAATCTAAAAGTGGATCGGTTAGTGGCGCAATCTCCTGGCTATCCTCTGGACCGACTCGCGAACAAGTGAACGACGCCTGCCGTTCTGATAACGAACACTGTCTGTACTTCTGCCTTATCGCGATGCGCGCGCATTCATCCGCCCTCCCCCTCCCCCTTCTTTATAACATGGTTTCTTGACCATCATCAGCAGTTTTCGTGAAATCTTCAATCTTACAATGTTTTTTTCTTTTTTTATTATTTCAGATTATACGAATACGAATTTTCAAATACGATTGTATAAACGATATATAATTTTTCTTATTTTTTTCTATTAGATTTTCTTTGTGAATTTGTTAATTCAGTGTTAATTGTGATTCGAAATCAAAAAGGCTATTTTCATTCATTTTTTTTTTTTTAATTTAAAGAGATTCTTTTTTATTATTTATAGATTGTTAACAATAAACAATTGTACTATAATTGATTGCAATACAGATCTTACAGAATCTAGATAATTTTAGATAATTTTTTGATATATGATGTATATCACACAAAATGATGATAGATTTATGAATTTGTTATTAAATAATGAAAATAAGATGTATAAGAATTACAGAAAAAAATGTAAAATTATTAAAAATTAATAAATATATATTTATATATATTATATTATATATATTATATAAATATATATTTATATTATTTTTTAAATATATAAATTAATATATTGTTGATCAAATTGATCTGCCACGTGCANAAAATTAAATTGAGAAATATATATTTGAAACAGATATCATCAGAATTATCAAAACAATTATAAATGATAATAAATAAAAATCTAATAATTATATGATGTTTTATGATTAAAACAAATGATTGTTTTATGATTAAAAAAAACTTTTGAAATATTGCTCAATACTTTACTATACTTATATATCATGTTTTATATACAAATCCATGAAAACAAAAACAGAGTACAATTTTAATGACTTGTGTTGATAATAATACTTTTAAGTACAAAATTGAACACTGTTGTGGAAGTTGAAATTGTTTGACATATTTTTAAGTATCTAAAAAGTATAATATTAATATGTTATATTAATATTTGATATGTTTGTCAATTATTTTTGATAATACAAATGTTGAAGATATTTTTTATAAAATATTTTGCACATAACTATCAAAAATTATGTACATTTCTCCTATTAAATTAAATGTATTAAATGTAAAAATACTAACTACACTTACATACATATTAACCTTCTAACAAAGCTCTGATAAAATTTATATTCTCTAAATTATTGCATCAAACTTAAAAAATCAATATTAAATAAATGAGAAATGAAAAAATATTTTAAAATAATATATTAATTAATTATATTATCTTCACTCCTAAACTGTTTTAAAATTTTTTTTTGAAAATTAAAATTTACTGAAAAAAAACAAATAAGATGCAAATTGAATGGAAAATATTAAAAAAAAAAAAAAAAAAAAAAAAAAAAAAAAAAA